ACCGGCTTCCGAACCCATTCTTGGTTGTGAGACCAATCTTATCAGTTCGTTTCTTAAGGTTTTCTCGATATTTTCCTTTCCCCCATGGGATAAATAAAGTTCGGTGGCGACTCTTTTGTCCTTTCTTTTCGCCTCCCCGTCGTTGCGCGATGCATTTTTTCGAGTAGCGACACATACGCATCATTTGTTGTCAAGAGGCAATGCTTACTAGTTTCGTGGAGACTAGTGACTTGTCCCAAACCTAGAGTGGGGTTTGAAAGCCTAGGGGACGGGTTTTTATTTGTTATTGGTCTAGGGGGCGAACCCGGTTTAAATGTAAAAACCGAAAAATAATAACAAGTGTTGGTACCACATGGCATTGAGTTGCATTGAGTCACATGACATAGGTATAATTGTTGTATGAAAGTATGCATATGTGTATGTTTATGTGGAATGATGAGAATTATGGATGCGTACATGACGAATATGCTTGGTGATTATCCATATTTATTTAGATATATATACATTGCGAGGTATATGATGAGTTATGATGAAATATGGTGAGAAATGTGAAATATGTGTATTCTATGACTATGTATATATATATATATATATATATATATATATATATATATATATATATATATATATATATATATATATATATATATATATATATATATATATATATATATATATATATATATATATATATATATGATTATATGCATTGATTATTATGGTAATATTTCTCACCCTTCTGCTGTTTTATGATGCTCTATGAGGCATTGCAAAGTAGGTTTAGTGGAGGTCTTTTGTGAAGCATGACTTCATTCTTTTGGTCGGTCGGCTGTGATATGTAGCACGGGGTAGCTAGGATGTTAGGTTTTTTTTGTGATACATTTGTATATGTATCTGCTGATGAATGATGTTATGAATCAAACCGGATGATATGTGTATATATATATATATATATATATATATATATATATATATATATATATATATATATATATATATATATATATATATATATATATATATATATATATATATATATATATATATATATATATATATATATATATATATATATATATATATATATATATGTGTGTGTGTGTGTGTGTGTGTGTGTGTGTGTGTGTGTGTGTGTGTGTGTGTGTGTGTGTGTGTTTATATGTTTGAAGTGATTCAATGTTTAGATTTTTCGCTTTTAATTCTAAATGTTGAGATTTGAGTGTAAGGACTAAGTTCCTATGTTGCAAGTTACTCCATTGTTGCATATCAATTGTTGAGCTGGTGTTGGATGTTTTAATTTCATGTAAAATGTGACATGCCTCTTTTATACCATGCTTTAATTATACTCTGATGGAAATTTTAATATGTGCCTAAATGATTTACGTGTTTATTTGGGGGTATAGAAAGGGGGTGTTACACCTTGCCTTGAGAAGTCGAAACCTATTCAAATAATCATCTATTGGCTCAGTAAACTTTCATTTTATACTAGCCAATTCCTTCAAACTGATATTTCTTTGTCCCATGTAGAATTTCTTATGGAATAAACATTCTAACTGTGTCTAATTATGAATTGGATTTGGAGGTAGGGTTGCGAACCAAGTAAAAGCGTTATTTGTAAGAGAACTTGGGAAATATATTACCGTAAGGTTCTCATTATTCGAAATTTCTCCGGCTTTTATCAAATACCCAACCACATGTTTGATAATGGACTTAGTAGTATCCCTGAAAAAAATAGTAAACTTAGGAACCTTTGTTCTTGGGGGTAAATCTGACTGAAGGATGTATTCAGATAACAGTGATGTATAATTTGATCGTTGAAGGCCAAAGTTTACTCCGTTATGTGCCGTGATTCTTTCGACCATCGCAACCAAATTATTATCTACTATTACATTGTTACGTCGAGCTTGCTGTACAACATTTTTAGCATTCTGGTTCTTATTTACCAAAACTGCACTTGGTTTTTCTTCTTCAGGAATTTATAGTTGATTCATAGGGGGTTCAATTCTAAGTCGTTCGATCATTCCCTGGTTGTCTTGATTTGCCTAGGGTATGTTTCTTTGATTTTGTTGAATTTGGTTAATGGTGGTATCTTCGTCAAAAACTACCCATTGGTTCTCTATCATATACTCCCTTGGTGGTTGTCGAGGGGGATTTGGTATACCAAATAATTTTATAAGGTGCGCCATTTGCATTGCTAATTGTTGATTAGTTTGGGTAGTATTCTGAATAAGAAGCTGAAAGATTTCCCCTATAGTTTGGGAGATCATTTGAACCATTTGAAGGTTGCTCTCGTCCATCTGTTGTCTTAAATATGATGCAAAACTGGTTGTCAAATTTGGCATTTGGGCGGAATACCCTAATCCTAAAGTTTGACTATTTCGACCCATATTTACCTTAGCGTCTGATCCCTGTAATGGCGAAGTCATTATGGGTTTTGTATATAATGGAGGGGCGTTTTGTAAGTTTTCCATCATCGAAGTTAGCATCATATAAGGTGAGTCTCGAGGCAGGGTTATTGCAAATCAAGGAAGATGGACGCTTCTGAATGCTGAAGCCCCTATTGGTGGTAGAGTCCGTGGAGGACCCTTTGCCCCAATATAAGTTAGAATGGGTTGTGTATGGGAAATATAATGTGTAGGTATTGAACTTTCCACATATGATATTGCTTTAGAGACAGGCGCTGAGACCGTTGGTCTTCATATCAAAGATCCTATGAGTGGTTCTATATTTTTAGTAGGCGTATCTTAAGGAATATTTAGCTGGTTAGAGTTTGCCACAATTCTCCTTCTATATATTCTCCTTGTTCTATCTTTGTTAGCAGTGGCTACTTTACCACTTCTTAATAACATGTAACATAGTTTTCAAGAGAAGTTGACCGCATAACTAATGAATTTTCAAGAATTTCGAAGAAAATTTTATGATCACCTAGTACTGTCCCACCGGGTGTGCCAATTTGTTCGTCGTGAAAATTGGTGAACAACCGCTGGTCTTTCAAATCGAAAAAGATTTGTTTTACTCGCAAGATCGACCACACAAATCCTAGAACATGTGCTAGTTGATCTCAAACAAAGTTTGGAAAAACAATGAAGACTTCGTCAGACTTCATGATAAAAATAACTTGTTTAAAAAATGTAAATGGAATTAAACACGAGAGATTAAAGTCGAAAGACTGGTAAAAAATGTAGAAAGTAACTTGTGCAAGGAAAAATAAATTCTTAATGAAAAGACTTATTGAATTGCATTGAAATATAAAAACGGTGTTGCATCAACGTACATTTTCACAAACTCGTTTCTCTACACGCGAGTACTTTGAGTATATTGAGGAATTTGTACCCAATTGAACACACACATTAATCCTAACACTGAGACTTGCTATTTATACTAATCGAAAATAACTGCCATCAATGGCTAACGAACTAGATTGAGACAAGTGGCGTTCTGCATTCAACTCTTGAAAGCGCTCAATGTGTCTTCTTTGAGAAATGGATAAGAATGAACATTTTCTCCTTTATTTGAATTCAAATATTCCTGTTGAAATGTCTTTAGTAGCACCTCTGTCGAATCACATTTTACAATTGTTAGAAAATATTTCTAAGTCCATAAAATAGTTCCTCGTTGCAAAGGGACGCCTTCGACTCACACTCAAAAAATGTAGTTCTGGTCAAAGTCATCCGATTTCTTCAAAAACTCTATTACTTCCTTTTAATCCAATTCGGGCGTCGAAATTAGAGCCAATAACATGCGTTACAAATAGAAACTTGTATGACTTTTAAATAACCAACAACCATGATAAGAAATCCAACTGAAAATGGATGAAGAAATATAACCTCCTTATCAATCAATGTCATTTCAAAATGTTCCTTATTTTTTGAAACAACACTCCATTTGGATGGACTCTGACCGCCGTCTTTCAAAGCTCTTTACTATCATTGATGTCCTTAACCATTGAAAAAGGTATTGCCACTGTTGTGCTTAATGTCCGACAAAGTAATAATATATTGGAGGGGAAACGTTTGGTAGCAGACACCAGTTTCCAATATTTTCCCAAACGAACTGTATTTTTTGTATGAACAAACTGAACTCAAATAACTCTTACATGTCCATCCATTTGGAAAATGCAATTTTATCTCGGAAGAAATACTTCATAGCCATGTGGGTTCTGACTTGCGCAAACTTAGGAAGGTGCACACATCATCACAACAACTTTACGTCAATGTTTACATTTGTAGTACTGTTGCAAACTTTTTGTTTCATTTCAGTTCGGGATTTGACATATTTGAGTTGCGCACATCATTCACGACACTTTACGCCAACGTTTACATTTGCAGTACTGTTGCAAACTTTTTGTTACATTTAGTTTGGGATTGAACATATTTGGACTGATTTAGTGGCTAAACACATGTTGAGATGAAATTATCTCTGACTCCAGTTTAAATTAGGTTGTTTTAGACACATTTTACTCTCAAATGTACGTGCTAACCACAATTAAAAAGAGATTAGGTAAATATTTTACCCGAACAATTAAATTTTCTATATTATAAAATGGAAGTCAATCAAATTGTCGGACCCACATAAATCTTTAAAAAAGATATAAATTAGGGCAGTTTTTATTATTACGAGAAAAGTGAGGTAGTATTTCGTAATTGAGAAAACGTAGGTTATTGAAGGAAAAATTTCCATACGAAAAAACTTGTGACTTGTGAATATACTCATGAACGTCAATGTAGAAGCCAATAAAACATCCACTTACAAGTAAGTAACCAAAAGCTGATTAAAAATAGCTTATATAGGTAAGATAGCATTCTTTCTTGAAACACATTCTTGGCGGTGGATTTGAAAACCCTCCCCTCTCTTTTTCCCTAATTATTTTATTTATTTCCCCCAACACCAAACTCTCCAAACGTGTCTATAGTCCAATCTCATGTTTCAAACCAGAAGAAACCCAATACTTACATAACTAGGGTTCATCCCTTTTTCAAAACTCCTCAACTTTTCTTTCCATGGCCGCGGCCACAGAGGATTCCATTCCCGATCATCGTGAAAAATTTGATACATCCCAAACGATGCCGTTCAAACTTGATGACGTGGCAGCTGATGTGAATGTTGTATCAGAAACGGCGTCGTTGAAGGAAGCAGAATCTTTTCCTGATCGAGAAAAACAAACTATGAATATCGGGGTCGAAACGGCGTCGTTGATAGGTTCGGTTGAAGGTGATGACGTGGCAGCTGATTCTTCTTCTTCCGTTAAACCTACCGTCGTAGAGCCGATAATCTACTGCAGAAGGAAAAATAAACATGGAGGAAAGAGTAATGTAGCGTTGAAGAAACCGTTAGAGGATGAAACAAACGAAGGAACTGGGAAAGGTGATGATGTCGTGGCAGATGGAGGTTCTGATTCTGTTCCGCCGGAGAAGACTAAACGCGGCGTAAAGAGGAAGACGGAGAAGGAAGATGAAGTTGGTGAAGGTGATGACGTGGTGGCGGGAGGTTCAGGTTTAGGTTCTGTTAATGTGACTGTGAGGAAGAGTGAACGTCCTAGGAAGATTAAATCGGTTCCGGAGGGTTTTGTGTCGGAGATGGATGTGGCACTGATGAAGAACGAAACTCGTGAAAGGAAGAAGGCGATAATGGATGTTTTTAATGCGGTAATTGCTGCAGGAAAAGAGGAAGATGTGATGAAAGAGGAGAAGAAACCGGGTAGAAAAAGGAAGAATGATTATAGTTCTGAAGAAGAATATAAAAGGAAGAATGATTATAGTTCTGAAGAAGAATATAAACCTGAACTAGATGAGGAAAATGTGAAGAAAGAAAAGAAGAAATCTAGTAGAAAAAGGAAGAATGATTATAGTTCTGAAGAAGATTATAAACATGAACTAGATAGGGAAAATGTGAAGAAAGAAAAGACGAAACCTATTAGAAAGAGTAAGAAAGTTTCTAGTTCAGAAGAAGAAAATAAAGCTGTACTTGATAAGAAAAATGTAAAGAAAGAAAAGAAGAAACCCGGTATAAAAAAGAAGGTAGTTTCTAGTTCTGAAGAAAATGAAGCTGCAAAAGAGAGGGAAATTGGTGGTTTTATCAAGAAAGAGAAGAAAACACCTGGTGGAAAAATTAAGATTGAAAAGAATGATCTGGTCTCTGAAAAGCAGTCTGAGAGTGATGTGGTGAAGGTAGAGAAACAGGACTCTCCTGAAATTGTAACTGAAACTGAAACGCCATTGTCTCGTGATAATAAAGGTTATTCTTTACGGGGGACTAGAAACAAGAAACCTACAATTGTTGAACATGTGGTGCCAAAATTCAATAAGAGAAATGCTAAGGTGCCATTACATGATCTGTTTACTCATTTATATTTCAATTTGTAGATATATAAACATATGTTTGAGTTTAGTGCTGTATAACATTGTGGCTCTATTACTGTTTCTCAATTAACAGTGGGTTGAAGAGGAGTCATTAATGTGCCATCAATGCCAGAGAAATGATAAGGGTAGGGTTGTCAGATGCACTAGCTGCAAACGGAAAAGATTTTGCATACATTGTATAAATAATTGGTACAACTTAATTTACTTCTGTTTTACTTTTAACTTGATTCCTTGTGTGTCGGTTATCTTGTTCTTGAATATGATTTGTTCAGCTGGGGTGACAAACCTGATATCTTTTGTTAAGGTATCCTAACTGGAAAGAGGACGAAATTGCTGAGAAATGTCCGGTGTGCTGTGGTAATTGCAATTGCAAAGCATGCTTGCGATCATGTGTACTTGTCAATGTAAGTTCTTCACCTTCTAGATTAACTATTCCAGTGATTTTTCTGTATTCCACATGTGAAATGTGATCATCTGGTTCACTACAGGAAATAAAAGAGAAGAAGACAAAAACCAACAAAGATCACGAGGTTGGGCCCTCCAAGTATATGCTAAAAGAACTTCTTCCGCATTTAATACGATTGGATGAGGAACAAATGACCGAGAAGGAGATAGAAGCGAAAAGACAAGGTGTTTCATTTCTTCCTCCAAGAGTATCCCATCTTGCAATCCATTTCTTCATGCTTTTTTCTCCATCCTCTTATTAAATTGAGTTGCTTTGCTCATATTTCATGGTTTTGACTCTTTATTTTAGAATTTAATTATATATTTTCCTTTTTTTCTTCTTTCTTTTAGATTACTTATACAATTGATATCCTGGTTTGAACTATTTTTAGCGCATGTGCTGTTTGATTGTGTTGTTTTTCTTAGTTTCAATTATTTTCTATTTTTAAATTTTCTTTTGTGATGAACATTACAGGGCTCCCACTATCGGAGCTAAAAATAAAAGTAGCAGATTACTCTAAAGATGAGCGCGTGTACTGGTAGAGTCTTATTTGCTCTATTTTTGTTTTTAGTTATTCTAGCTCCATACAGTTGTTAATTTTACACTTTTTTGTAGTGATAACTGCAAAACGTCAATATTTGACTACCACAGAAGCTGTACAAAATGCTCATTTGACATCTGTCTTCTCTGTTGCTGCGAGCTTCGTGGTGGCAAGCTTCTAGGTGGTGATGATCCAATTGAGTTTGAGTTTATCTTCCGAGGGCGTGATTATCTGCATGGTGGAGATGAAGAGAGACAAGACAGAAAAAAGAAACCTTGTTCTGCAACCCAGCCCGAGATTCGTGAATGGTCAAAATCCAGGTGGCATGCAGATACTGATGGTAACATTCCTTGTCCAAAAACCAATAATGATTGTGACCATGGTTTCCTTGAACTGAGAAGCATACTTCAACCAAATTGCATATCTGAGTTAGTATGTAAAGCAAAAGAACTTGTAGAGGAAGCAACGAAACTTCAAGATGCAGAGGAGACTCTTGATAATTGGTGTTCTTGTTTAAAGTCTAGGGATTCAGATGATATCCACACTAACACAAGGAAGGCAGCTTTTCGTGAAGAATCCAGCGATAACTTTTTATACTGTCCTAGGGCTGTAGATCTACATCATGAGGATTTAAGACATTTTCAATTGCACTGGAGCAAAGGGGAACCTGTAATTGTCAGCAATGTACTTGAATGTACATCTGGTTTAAGCTGGGAACCACTTGTCATGTGGCGTGCATTCCGTCAGATAAGCAACACCAAGCATAAAACACTTTTGGATGTGACGGCAATTGATTGCTTAGATTGGTGTGAGGTTTGTCCAATTTCTAATTCTTGAGCTTTTATGTATATTTGCCGAAACTCAAATTTTGCTATCATTGTTATGAACCTTAGTTTCTTTTACATCAATGTATTTTTGTATTGGAACTACTATTCTTAGAAGTGGCATTTAGAGAATAAATATAGTTACAATTTTTTTAATATTTGATTTTCATACTATTTTCAAACTTGGTATTTCCATTTTTTCTGTATTTAGAGAAGTTTCTGCATGTTCAGTTTTGCCCGCTATCCAATTCATATAGCATACCTGCAATGAATGTCTTAAAAAAGACTTTGGAGAGTACCCAGTTACAATACATACTCAATTCATATATTCATACCTGTAAGTTAGATATCACTTTTCTGAGTTTAATAGGAATGTGTTAGTCATGATGTTTCAGTCCTTGGTGCTTGGCATATGTGGTTCTCCACATTATCATCAAATTTGGATATTGCATGCTCAATTTATACTGCTTTTAGTCATAGATCTCAGTCAATTTCTTGTTATGTTATCTTCTAGCGGTGTCTCAATTTCTTGCAGACTGGTGTCCCTTTTTTTTGCTTGATCTACCAAGATATTTTCTCGTTGCCCTTGCATCCCGGTTTTTCATTTGTTGTTTTTCCTTTTTCTTAGTCACTAGAGCTTATCAAAATTTACTGCTTTTTAATGTTCTGTTGCTGAAATTGTTCTCCAATTGTATTCATTTTCTTTCCTTTCTCTAGTTTGGCAGACTAGAGGAAATTCTATCTGTATAGTTTTACTAATTTTCTCTTCCTTTACATGTGATGTCTATCTGTTGCTGTATAGTTTTACTAATTTTCTCATCCTTTACATGTGAAGTCTATCTGTTGCGAGTAATTTCTGTATATTTTTTTAATTTGGGTTTTGATTAAATGCAGGGAGAGATTAATGTGCACAAATTCTTTACTGGGTACACAGAGGGTCGTAAGGATTGGAGTAATTGGCCTCAGGTTTTGAAATTGAAAGATTGGCCTCCTTCTAATTTATTCGAGGAAAGCTTGCCTCGTCATTGTGCCGAGTTCATATATTCTTTGCCTTATAAAGAATACACAGATCCTTTCAAGGGCGCCCTTAACCTTGCTGTGAAGTTGCCTGAAGGTGTTCTAAAGCCAGACATGGGCCCAAAAACATACATTGCTTATGGATTTGCTCAAGAACTTGGGCGGGGTGATTCTGTGACTAAGCTCCATTGTGATATGTCTGATGCAGTAAGCTTCAAATCTTAGTCTTTCTTGGACTGGTTTTTATAGAATGTCTTTTGATACTTTATTTTATATTATATTGTTGTTTTTTAATTGAGGATCAACTTGAAATGTTCATAGTTTGTAGGACGTTTACAATGTCTCTGTAAGCCATTGCATTAAGAGGTGTTAGTCTTGTAGTTTAAAAATACATGTCATCATTTTTTGCTCATGCCACAGTCTTTGATTACACTCATTTGATTATATATTCAATTTAATTTACTTTAACGTGTTATTTACCCTTGTGTTTTGGTAAGTGATAATTTGAATAAAATTCTTTTTATGATTAGTTGATCATGCAAGTCTTTTTTGGGACTTGAAATACGATCGATTCCTTTGTTTTAGAAAGTTCTCATCAATGTATACTCATCAAATGCATTGTCTTTCCTGAGCAATTCATTGTTAGTGCTTTATATTTTTTGCTTTGTGTTCCGAATGTATTACGAGGAAAATGAAATGATACTTCTTTTATAATCTGCCTTTTTAGGTAAATGTGTTGACTCATATTGCTAAAGTTGAATTGAAACCTGAGAGTATTAATGCCATCAAGAAACTGAAACAAAAGCACCTCAAGCAAGACCAAAGGGAGCTACATCTACATGGTGATAATCAGGATGGACAAACCAACGTTAGCATGCTTGATAATTCATCGTCTTCCAAAAATGCATCAGACGAGCAGAATAGAGTCATGGATAATGAAAATGGGTTATGCAATGAGAAGGCGGCTGATCCTGTTCATCAACACTCAGGTGCAGATAATGACGGCCTTTCTTCTGCATCAAAGCTCAAAGAGGTTGATAAAGTGATTGTGAATAAAGATAATAGTTTGTTGGTTGGGGATGATTCTTTAGATGGGGCTCTCTGGGATATTTTTCGGAGAGACGATGTACCAAAATTGGAGGAATATCTAAAGAAGCATTTTAGAGAGTTCAGGCATGCCCATTGCTCTCCTATAAAGCAGGTAAAATTATCTAAGTCAATTTTCTATAACCTATTTGGATACCCGCTCTCCTTTGAAGCGGGTTAAATTATCAAAGTTAATTTTTTTTAATCTGTTTGGCTACTCCTTTTTTAACTTGAGTTAACTAAAATTTGTTGCTGCCAATTAGTTTTGCTTCCAGCAACATGCTCTACAAACTTCTCTGTTTATGTATTATTATTAGGTTTACACCATGGTAAAATTGATACTATATCTCCTCCCTATTTGACCGAAGTCTTGGCTTATGCTTCATTTTATTTTTCTATGTTGTGTTTGTTTTGCTTTTGAACATTAGAATGTGCTCTATTGGGCCTTCATAGTTTAGTTTGACAGCCTATTGGTAAGTCTTGCCTAGCTTGTAGCACCACCCCATTTCTGTTTTAAAAGAAGGTTGTAGCACACTCTTTTGCCAGTGCCACAGTTTCTAACATACTGCAACTTTTTGTAAATTCCTATCTGTAGTGAGTTACATCAAGAAGTTTTTCTTTCACCTTTTCAAACAATACAAACCTTCCAATTTTCCTGCACCTTCCCACTTTCTTTTCTAGTGAATGGAACATGGTAATATGATCATTTTATTGATCTAATCAACAAGACATGTTCATCCATTCCAAATCACTTGGCTAAAAAAAGCACTGCAAAACTCGTTTGTGTTTTTTTTCCCACCTTTTCACACCCACTCAATTTAGGGTCTGTTTGGATGAACTTATTTACTGCCATAACTTTTGTGATATTGTTTGGGAGACTTGATCAAAACAGCTTATGACATTTTTTGTAAATTTTTTTGAACCTACTTTTATAAATTCTTCAAGATAGCTAATGAAAACAACTTATAACATATATAGAAACAATTTATATTTGTTTTATCTTTTGTTATAAAATTAGCTCATGCGAGCTTATTCATAAGTGCTTATTTTGATAAGCACCTGTGCTATAAGTTGCAAATAAGTTGTATAAGCACCTGTGCTATAAGAGCTTCCAATTGAAACAACAAATCAAAGATGTTATTTGATTTCACAAGCTTCATGTCTTCAGTCCTTTGTTTGTTGCCTAATTCTCCACTAAGTATCAATAAGAGGTTGATTGTTGTGTTGGCAACAAAGTAAACCCAACTTGCGAACTATCGAAGCAACAAGACTATTCTATGAACTTGGCTTTTCTCATCCATCTAAGTTTCGTTGCTTATAAAAGCAGTTGTCTACCACCATTCATAGTAAGTTTTGGAAGAAGTGCACAATTACTTCAACAATCTTTCCAAATCACATTCAATAGGACCTCAGATCAATCACTAAATGCAATTGAAATCTACTTGAATTTTAATCATGTTAAGACTATTGTCTATTGGAGATTTAGTGTTGCACCTTGATTATTTTGGAATCCTTCTTTAGGTTATTCAAGAAGATTATGACTATGTGCACTATCAATGCATGAATCAAAGATCGTGTAGTTTTATGATTGCAGTCACCCCTTTTGATCTACCATGCTTTACTAAGTAGGTTTTTGCTTGGAAGTAATAAGACCATGCCAACAATCATTTGAATTGTGAAGTTGTGTGGGCTCCAATGTTTTTGATACAAACCCGATTTCCATATTGGGTTTGCGATCATATTGTTTTAGAGTACTTAACCACACTTTAACCTAAAAACCTCATTTCTCCCCTTAAACTCTCTTTCTCGTGTGATTCATGATACACATATCCTTTCCCTCTTTCATTTTTACTTTTCTCCTTGTTTCTGTTGAGTGCAAATGTTGGAAATTTTGCCTTCATTGCGGTATGCTCCTAGTCGCCTAATTGTATCATTTGACTTGCCTTAACTGCAGCCTCCAACACCTATTTTGTTGGATTTGTAGAAGTGGAATTAGTCCCACATTGTTTAGAGATAAGGTCTGTGTAGTATATATGAAGCTTGGACAATCCTCACCTTAGAAGTTACAAGATAGTATTGTAAAGATGAATCAAACCCAACCAGACCCAACCACACATTCTTAGATGGTATCAGAGTCTATCTTAGATTCATTGTTGGGCTTCTTGCATTGTCCACGCTTTAGTCTCATTGAGACTTGAGCTGGAGGGAGTGCTCTGGAAATCACGCCTTCATTTGGTCTGCCCCTAGTAGCCTAATTACAACATTTGACTTGCCTTCATTGCAGCCTCCAACACCTTCATTTTGTAGTGTGTATAAAGTTTGGGCAGCCCTCACCTTACAAGCTGGTTTTGTAGGGATGAGATAAACTTAGTCCACACATTCTAAGAGTAAATATTGTGAAAAGGTTTGTAGAAGAGGTGCTCATCGATTCAAGCATCATTTTGCAGGTACCTAGAAAGATGTTGAAGATTGTTAAGCTGCCCCATGAAGTTAGGAAAAAAATTCGGGACATTGTCTAAGTGAAGGTGTTGAAGACAATGTTGATTTTGTTGGCGAAGAGGGGAAAGTCTAGAAAATGAAATTGCTTCCAAAATTTTCAAAAATAGAGAATCCTCTTAGACAATTCTAAATATTTTCAAGAGTATTAAGAGGGATGCCTACCTACACGTTGGTACATTTCTTTTTACAACAATGCTATTTCCTTTTTATGTGCCAAAGGATTTAACTTTCAAAGTATATGTGAATTTATTGGGGCTTGTGGCATGTAATACAAGTCACTATCTTATCATGATGTTAGAGTGAAGTGTTTGAATAAAAAATTTGAGTTTATATAGTTTTGGACTATGTAGCGCTGACACCTTTAAAAAAAGACGTCTGTGTTCATGTTTGTATCAGACACTTGCACTAAAACTTGTAATTACGTTTAATTTATTCATTTTTTCAAATTATTATTGATGTCTACCCGTTAGTGTTGCGATCAAATTCAGAGTGTTCATGCTTCATAGATTTTGGAGGAGCTTATGGTTGTTTGGAAGAGGATCATCTGCATGTTTATGACAATTGGGTAGAACAATTGAAGGAGGAAGACTATCTTGTTTGTTTTGGCAAATAGTCCCAAGGGTGTCTTTTTGGCGTCAATTGATGCTTCTTGCAAGTTGTTATTGACAACACATTACGTTAGAAGGCAAATGGAAATTTTTTGGTTGCAATGAGAGTCCTTATTGGACATCTTTTGTTGCAATGAGAGTCCTTATTGGACACCTTTTGTTGCATGTTGGAAAATTTTGAGTAGAAGATTCTACTCATTAAAATACCATTGCTAGGGGTTAGAAGACCACCACTTATATCTATTCTAGGACCAATCTTATTTCTGAATCAATTTTCCAATGCTGGTGGTTTATTAAAACTGCCATGACATGATTTGCTACATCATAGTTTAGTTTGGGATGTTTAATGAATAATAAGCCATCATTTGTTAGGATGTTTATATTTAAGAAGTGGTTGGAAAGTCAATATGCAAAACTTAGAAGGAAAATTGGTTGAAGATATATTATCTTTTGAAGTGTTAAGATTGATTAATTTTGATGTGAACCCAATCATGGACTACATATATGAAGAAAAGAATTGCGCCAAAAAGGTATACAGTTAGCCTTTAATAAAAAAAAAATAGGTACAAAAATGTCTTCCACTAATTCAATTTTGAAATTTATAGTCATAGTTTGAAATTTGTGTTCTTTAGTTGTATACTTAGGAGAATATTATTGATGAAAAATGAATCTAATAATAACATAGACTTTGGACGCCACATGCTATTATTGTGTATGACCAATTGAATACAGGAGAAGAATGTTGTGAGGAAATAAAATGAGTATGAAATTTAAGATACGAATTTTGATGATTCAAATGAATAAGTTTGGGTCATTCAAAAGATGGTAGTAGTCTCTGTGCCTCAGTTTCGAGTAGTATTATTATAGTTTGCACATAAAGATGAATTTGAATTTTTTAATGCTGTAGAATGTCATGGTCATGAAGGTTGAGATGAAATTGATGAATTTCAACCAATGATTATATGAAAGATGATTTGACACATTAGTGACTTGTTTTAAGTATTGAGGTGTTTTTCTTTTGGACGTTTGGTATTGTGTTCGGATTTCTGTTAATCTGCTAATTAGTCAAGTGACTAGTTTAATAAACTTCTATGTTGTATTTTTTGAGTAGTAAGTCATGTAACTAAGTTGTAGTTATGGCTTATTTCGGATGTTATCTAACTTAAGTTATGAAAGCTTCTTTGTTTGCGTATAATTTCTCAAGACCAATGGGTTGAGATCCTATGTGGCATATATGTGCGCACATTACTAACTATGAGATACTCACTCTATTTCAAATTATAAGACGTTTTGAGTATTTTACACAAATAAATAATGCAATTATTGTTGTATGGGAAAGTGAAATGATCCATATATTTACAAAAATGCCTTTTGTTAACTATATTGAAAAATGAAATTAATAAAATAAGAAGAAAGAGTAATAAATGATAGAGGGTATAATAGGAAAAAAGTTATTAATGTTGTATTTGAATTCTAAAGTGACTTATAATTTGGGACATATATTTTTTACAAAGTAATTTATAATTTGTGACAAATGTATTACATGATTTTGAAAACTTAGGGACGAGTACGGTAAAATATATTTGACTTAATATATAAAAAAATAATTTTTAATTAAACATTACTGGATTGTATAAAAGATAAAAGTTACAAATAAATATAACTAGATTGTATAAAAGATACCAATATACTTTACTAAACATATAAATATACAAGTATCTAAGGAAGCATTTTTATAATTTACTATGCCACAAATCGAAATATAACTAGATTGTATAAAAGATACCAATATACTTTACTAAACATATAAATATACAAGTATCTAAGGAAGCATTTTTATAATTTACTATGCCACAAATCGAAATAGGGAGCAACAACATCATAAAAATTGTAATTTCGTTTGTGTCAAATGACAAACTTATATTTATCAATTAAATTGTGAATGCATTGGTATGTATACAAGGATTCACATGCATCTAAATGGAGTTCCCATTCTTTTCTTTTGTAAAATAGTTTTGTATCATTCTAGTTTCATACACACTAGTATCAAGTTCAGCTACAACATGAATTAGTGTGTATCAAGTTCAGCTACAACTTGAATTTTGGATTATCTATGCTTTAAAGCTGATATCTAACCAAGATTACATCTCAATGCATACCATGCTACAAAACAAATTTTGGGGAAGTGATATTTTATATAAAATACCCACCCGCCTTCACATAGTCTCTCACATAAGTTTGGAAGTTTTAGCTTATGCTGTGGCTTATTTATTTTGTAATGGTTTGTTTGTTGGACTTCTGTACATTGTAATATGTTGGAGTCAACCTTGATAAATTTGTCTTGTCGCTCGTTAGTATGAGCTGTCTAGCTTAGAAGTTTCTAGCACACTTCGTTTGTTGCAAAAATCTATACTCTGTTATTTGAACAAATTATATCAACAAAGAATTCTCTCTTTTATCTATTTTACTCCACTTTCACTTGTTTTTGTAGCTTGTGGATAATAGTTTCGGCTAGGTTTTGTTTTTCTTTATTATTATAAAATTTGCATGTCACACATGATTAAGCAATAGATCAAATTGGTATTTAATATATTAGAATGTGTGGGTTGAGTCTAACTCATTCCTACAAAATCAGCATGTAAGATGAGTGCTGCTCAAGCTTTATAAACACAACACAAGTCATATTTTTAACGAATGTGGGTACTACATCACCCTTTCAAAGGTGGTATTAGAGGATGCAATAAAGGCAAACTAAATGCTGCAGTTAAGGCGGGCTAGGGGCGAACTGCGATGAAGATGGAATTTTCAACAAAATATTATTTGTGATTAATTAGTTCTGGATATTTACCATCATGACATGAATAACGAATTATGTTGATGTGATTAGAAATATTGAAACATTGATATTATGGTCGTGAATGTTGGCTGGGTTCATTATCTTGTCTTTTGTCTTAATGTTTAAAAGTTAACTTGACGGTCAATGGGCATCTGTATGTAGGTGACTGGGCAGTTTAATGGATGTTCAATCGTGTATATAACTTCTTAAATGACATATCCCTTGGTAATGTAGGTTGTTCACCCCATCCACGATCAAACCTTTTATTTGAGCATTGAGCATAAGAAGAGACTTAAGGAGGAGTATGGTTAGTAATGTTCATAATTTTTCTTATACAGATTAGTGTGAGCAGTGTTGATCAATTTATATTTGTCATTTTGTTGACAATTTAACATTGAATTGTAGGAATTGAGCCCTGGACTTTTGTTCAGAAGCTAGGAGACGCTGTTTTCATTCCAGCTGGTTGTCCCCACCAAGTCCGTAATCTTAAGGTAAAATTTATGTATATGATGTATTTATTTTAAAAGTTTTCGCATTTGCCAAAAGTGGAGTTAAAGTTATGAGTTTTAGATAATAGATGAATGAGAGATATAATAAATCTAAGTAAATTACTCTTAAACATGATTAATAATGACTTGAGAACTAACTATTATGCTGCCAAGTTCTTGAGGTTTTTGCACGGTTCTAAGTGTTATATACTTGCAGTCAAAATCCTAATTATAGTAGTATTAAATCATTGTTATTTGGTACTAATGTGATGATTAACTTTATGTAAAAGATTAAAGACTAATTTATATGTAAAACATTATTCCAACAAGTGTAAACAAATTATTCAAAGGTAAACAATGTCCTAGTTTAAAATAACTTCCGTACTCTTAATAAATTTGTAAGGTTGTAAGGTTGAGGAAGTGGATTCCCATGAGGTGCTTGAGCCTTACTCATATTTTCAAAACTAATTTGTAAGGTTAAAGATGACTACCACAAAAACCTTAAGCCATATATATCACCAGCACATTTATATGAGGACTTGAGCGGCTTGATTATTGGCAGCCAAATAGATCTAGAGTAGCCTTTGATGTCATCTTAGTATTTGGGTCAGTCCTTACTCAATTTTCAAAACAGGCTTTTACGATAATCAACGTCTATTCATTATGAATACATTCTAAACATGTTATATATAATGCGGATTAATGACAGATGTGAATAAATATCATATGTTTTTATTTCCTATAACTACCTTATGCCTGAGAATGCATCAAGGGCTGTCAAACATTTTGAAAAACTGCTCAAGATTATGTTTCTAAAGTATATTTATTGGGACTGTTTTCCTTGGGAGTAGAGTTACATGATTTAAAATAGATGGTCTCAAAAGTAACATGTCTCGAATTGTGTGAATCTGTTAAATCAATGCTGGATGTCAAAAGAGAGTTACAGTACAAAGACTAGAGATATTGCCCTACCTTGAAAAAGTGATCATTCCTATAAAATAAATGTTGGATGGCAAAAGAAGCCATATTGTGGTAGTAAGCATTGCTCAAAATCCAATTTAGTGTGTGACTAATGATTCATTTCCTTTGATGGAATCTTGACCTGCCATCCTATGTAACAATCCTTTAACGAAACAAGTTATTTAAGCCAGTCACATTAATGATTCATTTTCGTCTGTCTTGAGAGCATGTCAGTTTTGAAATATAAATTTCAAATCCTGTACTTGTAATATTTTTTACACTACAATTTCTTACAAATTGCCCAAACCATTTATCACCAGCTCACTTTTATGTGTTGATTGTATTTCTTTCTGGCTATTGCTTGATAAGTATGTGTAAATGTCAATGATATGCATCTCCGTTTTGCAGTCATGCACCAAGGTTGCTCTTGACTTTGTCTCTCCTGAAAATGTCGGCGAGTGCTTTCGCTTGACAGAGGAATTCCGCAAACTTCCAATAAATCATAGGTCCACCGAGGACAAATTGGAGGTATGGCATACTACTTTTGTTGATTTGACTGTGCTGTTTATATGCTCACCCATTATTGAGATATTGCATCTCCTATTTTGTCATTAGCAGCTTCTTTCAACTAGATTTTGATTATAGTTCAATAGCAATTTTAAAATCTGGGCTTAACCTATCAGTAGGGCTGTTCATGGTATGCTTATGTGAGAAAACCGAACCAAACTAAACGATAGTAAAATTTTACTCGCACTGAACCAAACCAATTTACACAGAACAGAACCGAACCATTATCATTGGTTTGGTATATCGTTTTGAAATTCCGAACCGTTAAACTATTTTAAGTTTTTTTATAAAAAAATAAAACTTGTTTTTAATATTTTTTATTTTTAGTTTCGTTTTGGTTACAGTTTCGGTTCTAGAATTGTTTGTGCAATATGGTTTGGTTCACTAATCAAACATATTGGTTTGGTTATTTTAATTTCAATTCGGTTCGGTGGTTTGATTCGGTTCATGTTTTGTTTTGAACAGCCCTCTATCAGAACAAATTTTGTTTGCTTTCAGTCACACCTATTGATGACACCTGTTCTGCTGCCTATGTTCAAATCTAAACCTTGGTTGAAACTGGTTTTAGCATATGAATTGAACATTTTTACCATTTTGGTCCTAAACTACAAGGTGCTCATTAAATAACTTAAGTAACTAAATACATAAAAAGATTGATAAGAATGGGATCAATGGAAAAATGGTTCTACATCGTTAGCAGACAGTTTTAGAAGTTTTGATTGTCAATCTATTTCAGTAACAGATGATACTGTGTCGTACCACTGGTCTTACCATATCAACAGATTGTTGTTGGTATTTTGTGTATTGTTTTTTTTCCCTGATTGCTGTTTTTTTTTAAAAGGTGAAGAAAATGATTATATATGCTATGCTTGACCTGGTCGACACCTTGGAGAAAGCAAGGTTAGTGATTGCAAGCTTTAAGCCTCATGGTTATGGATTTGTGAAGCATGCATTTATGAAGTTGTCTAATGCGCATTGAAAATTATATCTTGAATTTCGTTAGGATAACAATTTCTGTGTATATCATGAAATTGATGACTGTGAATCAATTTGCAGGTTCCTGTGTAAATTGTAAATGCATCTGAGATTGACTCTAGTTGGGAATGTAAATTTTTGAGTTGCTTTGTTAGGTGTGCTGACCTTGGGTTCTTCTGTATCGGGTGGTAGAAAAGGATCCGCATTTTGTTCTCTCTAACATACCATGATGATATACTTAAGAAACATTATGACTTGGTGTACGTTCAAGTATTACTTACCACTTCTACAATAGTGTACTAATTATAGCTATGTTCAGGACTATAGCAGAAGCTAATGCTAGCATTGAAATATTAACTTTTGAATGCTTTACAAGACAAAATACCTAATATGCTAGAATTGTATTTATAAAACATGATTAGTACTAATTTGTTCACGCACGCGCACATTCCTGTATTTTATATTTTGATCATAAAGTTTAGATCAACGTCCTTTGCTTTTAGGACTTCTTTGCATTACATCATTGATTTCAATTGAATAAAAAGTAGCAATTTATCTAGTTTTGATTTAAGAGGAAAGTTTAACAATTTCATATTTTAATATAATTCAGTTTTTACAAACTTTTAAAAATCATATCATATAATTTGTGTAAAGTTTTTGATGTGTTAAAAATGAATACTGTGTTTATTTTTAAAATATTATAATACTTGAATTCTTTCAACTCTAACCAAATTAAATTTATTTGGTTATGTTTATAAAAAATTTATTCTAACATATTCCATAATATTTATTGTTATATGCTAAATTGTTAAATTTATTTAAAAATTTCAACCATTACACTATTCCTTTTAATTTTGGTATGTTTGTGTAGCGGTAAAAATCGTGAGCGTAAGTTATTAATTAACTTAACTCAAAAAACAAGAGTCGCCACGCATTTTTATTTTATCCAAATAAAGAAAAGGAAAAAGAGTGAACAAAACCAAAGAGTTCTAAAACGAGAACAAGAAACAGAGATCGGGGTAAGGGGGTTGGTTACGCAATGAGAAGGTATTAGCACCCAAGACGTCTATAGTACTCTGTAGGAGCCCTTTGAAATATTTACGTTTTTTGGTTTGAAAATGGTTTGTTTGAAAAGAGATTGGGGAGATGAGAAGAGAATTATTTTGGGGAGATGAGAAGAGAATTATTTTTTTAGATTTTTGTGTTTGGAGAGACTTATCGTCTCATGCCTACGTACCCACAAAGTGCAATATAGGATCAAAACCCCGTAGTTCGTGGTACAAATGACAAAATTTTGTTGGTTTTGATTGATTTTAAATGTAAAGACAAGTCGTCATTTTAAGGAGAAAACTGCGACTATTCACCCACGAGTATTAAGACAACATCTGCGTCACATAAAGATGGAGGATTTGCTTCGATTATCAACAAAACTATCACTCAACATCAACGTGGAAAATGTCAAAGTCTTAATAATATGGGGAATAGGAGAATTACATCTCAACTATAGAAATGAATCATGTCTAAAATTTATGAAAAGTTTTAAAGTGAAAAAGTGCATAAAGGCACAAAAGAGTTGATGAGTTTTTGTATTTTTTATGTCTTTTGAAATTGGTCAAAGCATGATTAACATTGATTGATTTTTATTGAGAAGAACAAAGTTTGAAAATCACTTGACAAAAGTCAAGGTTTTATTGCGAAAGCGGTTTTGAAAGAGGGAGAAAGTTTTGAAAATTTAAGAAGGGGAGGAGATGAAGTGACTATCCTAGAAACCAAAATAAGAGCTAGAGGTAAGAAAGATCTAATCGACTTGTAGCACACTCCATAGCAAGCAAAAAAGAATTCCATCTGATTTAAAGCATAAGCTAATGAGCGAGCCAAATAAAGGCTAAGATCCATAATACTCCAAGCATAGGAATAAGAGTCCTAATTCTAAGTCCCAAAGGTCCATGAAGTCCAAGATCATAACCACAAAGTTAACAACACCAAGTTTTTTAGAGATTTTTTTATCCTTTATTAGTATTTTGAACAAGGTATGGTCCAAGTGGACAAAAGAGAAATGACATAAACATAAACAAAGATATGATATGAAATGATAACATGGAAGCATAAAAATAAAGAAATAAGGAGTAAGAAGAGAATATAAACAAAATTAAACAAGGATATTGTTAGTGAATTAGTGGTTAGTGGTTAGAACATATGATCAATGATGATTAATTCTTGCACTTAAACCAAGGTTAATGAAAACTCATTAGAGGATTGATAGAATCAAAGCCTCCTAACAATGATTTTCATAGGTATTGGACTTAAGACAAGCAACTAATCATACTTGGACTTTTAAACATAAGTTTGAGCCACGAATGATCATTTTCCGATTAAGGGACACTTTAGCGCTATGTTAAGCAATCGTAATCGGGTTTATGTAGAAACCACGACTATCTGAGGCCGGTCAATAAAATGTTAGTGTTAATACATGTTAGAGAAGTGATATGTAAATCACTCTCCTAAAACATGCCACACAAAAAGAAAAGAGGTAGTGATCTCATCACAATCAAGATTTTTCATCAATTAATCAAAGGTAATCTATCACTATTCCAAAGTACGGAGAATTATCTCTATGATTATTCGTCCATAGATTTGAAATAATGAAGATTAAACAACCTTGATAATCAACAATCTATGATCCACAGATTTCATCGATCAAAAATAAAAAGAAGAAGAAAGAGAATTAAAATGAAAAGAAATCACAATTTGAATCTTAAATCGATTAAATCATCATCAATATCAATCACCTCTTTTGGTGGATAAAATCGACACCCAAAGTCCATTGATATTGATGAGATCTTATCAAAATTCAAAGTTCAAAACAACCAACATTTAATCCAAATCAAAATATTTTCAAATAATTTTTTAAGAGCTTTTCTTTTAAAAATGAAATTAAAATACAAATTGATAAAAATAAAAAAAAAGAACAAAAGTGGAAAAGTCCACGCTTAAAAAAAATAGAGAAAAAAATGAAATAAAAAAAAATGAAAAGGAAAAAGAGGAAGAAAAACAAACAAACAGAAACAACTTCTTCTTCAAACTTCTCACGCGACACTATTCACACTATAGCCACGAGCTCAAAGCTTGCTCAAATCAAAGCGGCGGAACGCGAAACCAACACGGTTATGATCGGAATCAAGAGCTCTTCACAATAGTACCAACAGTTCAAAGAAATGCAACCAAAAGTAACGGATCGAAAATGACGGTGAAGCTCAAACTACCTTCAAACTCAGGTAAATGATGAAACCGAAACTCTTTTCTTCTTTCTTCTTCTTTCTTCTTCTTTGATTCTGGATGAATTTGTCTCTATTGGAGTGAATTTGGTGGAAGGAAATAGGAGAAGAAAAAGTGAACGAAAAGGTTTTGTAGTGAGGAATTGAAGAAGAAAATTAGCAGGGATTTTTTGGCTTGAAAAGCTTGAATTAAATGAAGGAGATATGAGTGGTATTTATAGATTGAGAGTGAGGGAGAGTGATTTGCCGTTTGTGATAATTTCACTGCATTTTGGTTGATACGATGTGCGTGACCCATGTGCATTTTTTCACGTCGTTTTGCTTTATTTCATTTAGCTCTTTTAATTAATTTGAATGTGATGTGGATTTTCTGCTTTTTGATTTCAGCTCAGTTTTAAATAACTGATGTGGATTGGCTTTCATGGCTCACTTTTAGTTTGCACGGCTTGGTCTACGTGAAACACAGCTGGAATTATATTCTCAACACCATCATCAATTCTTAGTAGGTGTGTGGAACTCATTTTCAACCTGTTAGCAGCTTGGTTTTTTTTTCAAATGCGGATGAAGAACACGATGCCGTCATGTTATGTTATTTGCCTACTACTTCAGGAATGTTGACTCATGATTATGATGAAGAGCCTCTTGTTAAGGGCACTAAATTAGAACAACAACAACCACCTGGAAGTAAAGCTCAGCTCACTCGACAACGCCGATAAATTACCTGCTGGGCAAGATCGTACTAAATACAAGGAAGAACCAGACAGTTATGCAGAATGCATCTCCCAGCTTGCAATTCCATTAACTGGTTTGCAATGTTGTTAAAAAATTCTTAGGGAGATCATATGTCTTTTTAAGAAACTTGGAAGCTGATTCATCATTCCTAAACACTGGATGCTCTTGTCATGATTTCACCTGTTTTGAGATCACGCACGAGCCAATCACGACGCATACCATTCTTTCCAAATGCAGAAACCCAAACTTCCAACAACAGCTCTAATTGATTTCTCAGAGAACATAATTTTGTCACTCGAAGACGCAATTATTTCATCGCTGCTTCCAATAACCTGATGACGGCATAGACTGGATTGTTGAAATAGCAGTAGCAGTAATAAGACTGATTCTTCTAGATGTCCGATAAGCAACACCAAGCAGTGCCCCTCCATTTACATTGACAAAATCTGGATTTTTCCCGTACAGTCGCAAAAAACACAATGCGACCTTTTCACAAGGGCCTGCAACTGCTAGATAACAGAAACTTCTTGGCGAATTCTCGGCCACCAACATCTTGCTCAGTTTGTCATCAAGAATCTCACCAACTTGAATCCTAAAAAAAAAAACTCCACATCAATTCGCTAAGCTGCTGCTTTAGTTCCAACTGAGAGCTTCTGAGGGATTTCACTTCCTTTACTAGCAACTTCATATCTGTCTTTGATTTCATCTCAAACTCATCATGATGTTTCTGCAAGTGCTTGAGTTGTTCCCTAGCCACATCTAGCTCTTGCTGCAACATTTGCTTCTCCTGAATTATTGATGCTTTTGTTAATTCTGCTCTCTGGTGGAGTGTTATAACATACTTCGATAGTGCACTAGAGGCTGACTTCTTTTCATCCTCGAGAAAAGATGATGCCGCAGGATCATTAGGTAGAAAGGAAGCCGACATGCGCTTTTCGTTCACAAACTGGACATTAGCCTCAATCTCACGTAAAAGCTGCCTCATTTCTCTTCGAAACCTCTCAACTTTGGTCAATTTGCAAAAGCTACGCAACCTTGCAATTGGAATAAAAGACAACTCCATGAACGCAACAAAATAACTCCATAGTGCGAG